GTGTGAATGTGTGTGTGAATGGGTGGATGACTGGATGTGTAAAGTGCTTTGGGGTCCTTAGGGACTAGTAAAGCGCTATATAAATACAGGCCAGTTACCATAATTAATGTCCATCACACAAAAAAAGTCAAAATTTCTCAGGTGATTTTAAAATATATATGAATCTAGCCTTCATCATCTTATCACAGGGATAGTTTCCCAACAACTTGATGTTAAGTGTTTCCATCTTTAGAAACTTACTGCAAAAACTCATAACAATGCTGCATGTCAGCAATGTAAAAGATGAGCAGGAAACTGAAAAGTTTGCTTTTGTAAGTCAACAACATTCTGATAAAATGAGTCATGAACAGACATCTCCACCACAAGCATCTCTAAAACAGTGTAGCTTATGATTTTTGTTTCTGTCATTTAATGAATGCAAAAAGTTTTATATCTAAAAAAAGAAAAACAGCAATATGGAACTACATCTAAGCACAAACATAAATGACTTCAGTGTGGCACCATCTACACTATGTAAACCAGTGATTCCTGTGATGATCTATGGTCTTTATAATGTGTAAACTGATTGGTTCTTATATAGCACTTTTCTACTCTGAGCACTCAAAGCGCTTTTTACAACTTGCTTCATTCACCCACTTTCATTTCAGTTTAATTCAATGTCATTTATACAGTGCCAAACAACAGTTGCCTCAAGGCACTATTCATTTACCCATTCATCCAGGCACTTTTTTAATGCAACAAAAAGCATTTGCACGTGACCGTTCCAGATGTGCCAAGCCCATGTGAAAAGAAGAAATGACCTCAATGGAGGGGTTCAGCTGGAAAGCAAACTGTAATGATTCAAATACAGGGGGCTGTGAGGAGATGATGTAGTTAGTCCTTTACCAGTCTCTCGAAGCGCATCGTTATGGGAATTAGTGTAACAGGACAGTGGTCATTAAAAAAAAAGTGACAGTGGCCAACACAGCTGGGGATCATCATCAGATCACGCCTACACTATCTAAGCAGCACGCCAGGAACCTAACATAACACAAATGTGTGTTACAGTGGCGCCCAACTACCCAGGACAAGATATCGGACCCACGAACCATGCAGCCGGTGCGGTGGCAGAGCTGGCTGCCATGGAGCGGGAGCAGACAACAGTGCACCGACAGCAACTTGGAAGCCCCAGGACCAGGCCAAGTACCAGACAAATGTCCTGGGAAATCTGGTTGCTCAATGCGGTTCCTCTCCGTCACACAGCGAATGGTATACCTCCATAGTTCCGTGGTGGTAAAGAAAGGTGGGTCTATTGGGTTCTGTGTTGACTACCGCAAGATGATTGAGGTCACAGCATATCGCTTATTCCATGCCATGGGTCAATGAACTCCTGGACCGGTTTGGTACTGCTCATTTATTCATGACACTGGATTTGACTAAGTGCTACTGGCATATTCCCTTGTCTCCAGAGTTTCCACTCTGTACAGATTTTATCAATTCCACACACTTTTATTTGGCTTTTTCAAAAAGGGGGTTGATTACATAAGCCAAAAACTCTCAGAATGGGAAATGCCCGGCCTGAGTTCGGAGGTGGGTATATGGTGGGGTGTGGCTCAGCTCCAAGGAAGGGGTGGTGCAGTGAATTCAGAGGGTCCTGGCTCTTTTCCCTCCTTTTCCTCCAGCATTGTTTCCACTAAGGCAGCCAAAGTAAAGCGCCTACATTTATTATAAAGTCCATTGGTGTGGTCCCAGACTGAATGTTGTTGGATTACATTATACATGCTTCCCTTAGGCAGCATCATTAGAAGACATAGCATACATTTTCACTGCTATGCAGATGACACCCAGCTCTATCTGTCCATGAAGCCAGATAACACACACCAATTAGTTAAACTGCAGGAATGTCTTAAAGACATAAAGACCTGGATGGCCGCTAACTTTCTGCTTCTTAATTCAGATAAAACTGAGGTTATTGTACTCGGCCCTGAAAAGCTTAAAAATATGGTATCTAAGCAGATTCTTACTCTGGATGGCATTACCTTGGCCTCCAGTAACACTGTGAGGAACCTTGGAGTCATTTTTGACCAGGACATGTCCTTCAATGCACATATTAAACAAATATGTAAGACTGCGTTCTTCCATTTACGCAACATCTCTAAAGTTAGAAATATCCTGTCTCAGAGTGACGCTGAAAAACTAGTTCATGCATTTATTACTTCCAGGCTGGACTACTGTAATTCATTATTATCAGGATGTCCAAAAAACCCACTGAAAAGCCTTCAGCTGATCCAAAATGCTGCAGCAAGAGTCCTGACAGCGACTAGAAAGAGAGAGCATATTTCTCCTGTTTTGGCTTCCCTTCATTGGCTTCCTGTTAAATCCAGAATTCAAAATCCTGCTCCTCACATACAAGGTCTTAAATAATCAGGCCCCATCTTATCTTAATGACCTTGTAGTACCATATCACCCTATTAGAGCACTTCGCTCTCGCTTTGCAGGCCTACTTGTTGTTCCTAGAGTATTTAAAAGTAGAATGGGAGGCAGAGCCTTCAGTTTTCAGGCCCCTCTTCTGTGGAACCAGCTTCCAGTTTGGATTCAGGAGACAGACACTATCTCTACTTTCAAGATTAGGCTTAAAACTTTCCTTTTTGCTAAAGCATATAGTTAGGGCTGGACCAGGTGACCCTGAATCCTCCCTTAGTTATGCTGCAATAGACGTAGGCTGCTGGGGGATTCCCATGATGCATTGAGTTTTTCCTTTCCAGTCACCTTTCTCACTCACTATGTATTAACAGACCTCTCTGCATTGAATCATATCTGTTATTAACCTCTGTCTCTCTTCCACAGCATGTCTTTATCCTGTCTTCCTTCTCTCACCCAACCAATCACAGCAAATGGCCCCGCCCCTCCCTGAGCCTGGTTTCTTCCTGTTAAAAGGGAGTTTTTCCTTCCCACTGTCGCCAAAGTGCTTGTTCATAGGGGGTCATATGATTGTTGGGTTTTTCTCTGTATCTATGAAGCGTCTTGAGGCGACTTTTGTTGTGATTTGGCGCTATATAAATAAAATTGAATTGAATATGGAGTCTTGGCCCATTTTAAACATAATTCTTCAATGCTTGACCACAGCCTATATTTAACATATGGATGTCGCTACATCAGCATATTGGGATGCTGGGTGATCAGACTGCTGAACTGGTTTGGAAGTCGCACCAAAGCTCATCAGAACAAACAAACGATTTATTTCAGTGGATAAAGACAGGGTAATCATGAACAACAAGACCAACTAAACCTTGTGACTGTCACTGATTGGAAGCATCTAGTGTGCCTTACACAAAAACACACATGGAAAGTTCTTAGTAGGTTAAGATAACATTACTTGAACTAAAACAGTTTATTTTGGTCATCTTTACAGCAGTTTCATGAAAGGCACAAACCTTAAAACGTGGGAAAAAGCAAAAAGCCCAACAAAAGTTGAAACAATTGTGAGGCTATACCAGACCAGTGACAGCAAACATAAGTCACACTAAAGAAAGATTTGGATGATCTTTGGTCAGAGAATAAAAACATGTTTTATGCATTGTAAAATAAAACTAAACTGATAATTAACATTTCACCAAAACATAATGCCAAATACCATTTTTTAATACAGCTTAATACTCACCAATGTACTGTGGAGTACCACTTGTGCTCTTGTACTCCTCTCCCGGGTGAAACAAGTGAGCCAGGCCAAAGTCTATGAGTTTGATGTTGGGAGGTTTTGACACTTTGTCTGACAGCATGATATTTTCTGGCTGAATGTGGCGAAAATTGTTATGTTGGAAACCATGACTTTGAAAATGTTCTGTTCCACAATATAAAAGATAGATGTAACTAAGTATACTTACCTTGAGGTCAAAGTGGGCAATGTTTTTGCAGTGTATGAATTTCAGACCCTCCAGTATCTGCTTCATGAATTCAATGGCCTCAGTTTCCAACAGGTTCTCTTTCTCAGCAATAAAGTCAAACAGCTCCCCTCCACTGACACTAAGCAGGAAGTGTTTTAATGAGACACTTGTTAAACATTTCATTTTTTCCCTGTACAGAACAGGATAGGGTAGCAAATATATATTTTCTCATACTATGGTTTGTTTCCCATATGTTATGGTGGAGGGGGAGGATTTGCATTAACAGAAAACAGGTTTAAATTTGTAGGTAGAACAGTGAAGTGTTTACGCTTTATGGAGATATTTGTCAACTCACAGCTCCAGAATGAGCACCACTTCAGCGCGACTTTCAAAAACATCTTTGAGAGCCACAATGTTTGGATGTTGGACAGCCTGGAGGATCTCCACCTCTCGCTCCACGCTGCTCCTGTCCAGGCCAAGACGGCTGCATGCAACCTTCCGAATCTTCAGGAATTTGCCTGCCCAAAAGTTCCCAGAGGTCCGCTCCCGAACCTGGCGAACCTGGCCAAAATGCCCACTGTACAGGGGAAGGACAGAATTCACAAAAAACACCAAGCCTGGCATGCATCAAAAATCCCGTGTCCTGAAAAATATGACTTTTTTTTTTTGCTAAAAACAAACAAATAGTCTTCCCAGACATTTGGGTCAGGCCTAATCACCATATCCTCACAGCCTTCTGCTGCTGAACAGGTGGTCCTTACACAAGAGTATTAGCTTCGGAAAAACTCTGAGTAACTGCTCTGCCGCTCAGGCGGCCAGGGTCAATTTCTTCCCTGCATAACGTGATCCAGTGGTTTCTGTTATGATGCTGAGCCACGATATATTTAGCCGACACACAGAGTATTTGCACATGTTTTGCATATTCATGCTTTGAGCAGGAGAGGTTGGTATGCCCTCCTCCTCATCACAGTGTTGGGCTTAGAGTCAAGCCCCGGAGTTTCTGCAAGTTTCTGTCCACCTTCACTATCTATGGTGCTAACAACAAGGACAACGAGTTAGCTGGTTTACTAACTTCAGCAGAAAAGGAAAACAGTGTTAGCTAGTGTGGTAAACCGTACTAACTAAACCGCCTTAGTGGAGAGCACGACGCCCAACCTGTGGTGCAGACTTGGTTTCAGCAGAGACGAGCAAAAGGTATCAAGCACCCAGCGACAGGAAGTTTGCTAAACACTCCTGTCTATGGACAGGTAAGATAGCTAGCTAGCCTAATATAGGCTGAGATATGCGCCAAAGCTTGAAGAGGTGTTTCAATAATGGCTATGTAATAGCACAAGCTACTGAAGGGTGGGAGTTTCTGCCTGACGTAGTTGTTGCAATCACCAGCCAATCAGGAGTGGTGGAATGAGATAAATGATTCTGAGTTGAATTGCATCCCATAGTGCGATATTGCCGTGATTGCTACTATGGGAACAGGGAATTTTACTTTCACACGCATCACCTCGTTAATATGGTTTCAGACCAACCATACGTGGTACAAGGCTGCAGGTTATTGTAGGCAGGCATTAAAAAAAAGCAGAGGACACAGCTCTTGTTACAGTATACTGGGCATGACTGGGAGACTGATGTCTCTGAGAGCTTTTATTCCTATTGTGATTAATAATTTATAGTGGAATTGCAGTATAATTGCTCAAAATGGGAAGTTTGTTAAGCACACAAGCACAGAGGTTTCTGTGGTCATTTTGCAATAGTCTGGTATGGGTTGCATTAAATGCATGTAAATCGTTCACTTTGTATGACTGTGAGTTAACATAGGATTATCGTTTCTTCTTTGTTTTACCTTATTACTCAGAGAGCTTTTTGGGGTATCAGCACCATCAAATTAAGGCTGAAATCCTGCTTATTTCAAATCCAATATGCTGGTATTCAAAAGAAACAAATCTGTACATGTCCTCACCATACATCACTGTACTGCGGAGCACCTATTGGAACACACTAGAGCATAAAACAGTTGCATCCATACCTTCCCAGAACTTCCCCAATCTCATAGAAGTCTTCCACATTCTCAGGTTTGAAGACAGCCATGTTCCTTTGGTTCACACTGGTCACCTTGGTTATAGGTTTGCCTACTGCCAACTATTTAATATGGAGCTTCAAGGGGTTCATGATCCTCCAAACTCTAACATCAAAGCTGGACCTGAGTTTGAGTAAGAGAAAATATTACAGAAAATTATGTTCTCCAAAAGACCACACAATGTCTTGTACTGTGACAACTACACAAACACAGTGCATACATCTGATACATGCAGCCGACATTTTGCTAGCAAGAAAAAAAAAAAATCAGACGTAATAATTTCTCCAGGGTTCTTCAATATGTGTTTATGCTGAACTTTTCCCAGTCATCTAGTTCAAGATGAATACTTTATCTACTCATAAATAAAACTGTAACGCAGCGGTGTTCCAACAGACAAGCAGGCTAAGCAGCGACTGCCCAGTCAAATCAAGAAATCAGAAACAATTAATGTGAAAGATCTTTTTTAATCTGAAACAGCGTTCTGCCATCAAACTTCCACCCATCCTTTACATTACTGCCATCTTCTGACTGCAGTTGGCTTTTGCTACTGGAAGCTTTACTTGTCTTGGATCCTACTGAAAACTGTGTGCTTCTATTTCATGAGCATATCTGTGTCCCGTTAACTATGCCTGAAGCTTGACAAGCTGAGAGACCAGATAAACATCTGGTGTTTGATGGGAGACCAATGGGAGATTGGCATGCAAGGTATGCTGCCACTGGCTCTGCATTCAAAGTTCTGAGATTCCCAGTTTGTGTGGAAACAGAATCAGCATTAGCCAGTAGATGAGCTTCTGGAATTTATCATCGTAACAGATCATTACGAGCAAGCATTTCCTCTTACAAACCAACCCGACAAACGTGTATACAAGCTGGAGTGCAGTGTGAAAAGTTTTAATAACTTCCTTAGGCAAGTGGAACAGGCACAGGCTCAACCAGCACATTAAGATTAGTATATCTGAGAAATCACTAGTAAGTTTAACTAGCTGTTTGGTCAAGACGCCTTCATTTTTCATACATATTTACTAGGGATGGACCGATTCGAAATTATGTATCGGTATCAGTCCGATACTGACCTAAATGACTGGATCAGAGAAATAAAAAATGTAATCCGATCCATTAAATATCAAAAGAGCACCTCACAAAACTTGCGACATGGCGTAACTCAGCTCATAACCTTAGCTCGTCGGAGCAGTATGCGTCTCGTCATAGAGCGACTGTGGCGTGCGAGACCTGTCGGTGGTCTGGTTGAGTATTTGTAGCCTCGCTACCAAACCAGCATTTCATCTCCAAGAAAGTTATTCAAGAGAGAAGTAAAGCAAGTGTGTAAGTTCATCTCTGAATGTTTGTAAAGCATTCCCGCGTTAAGCTTAACAACCATATATGGAGCGACTGCCTCTCCCTCTCCCTCCCTCTCCTGTTGCTACTTCAATTGTGAAACTGATTAATGATCAGCTGATCGGCTTTTCTGTGCGAGTCTCTCTTGCTTGTTTTTGGTCCACACAGTTACACGGCTGGTAACTTTGCAGGGGCGGATCTAGCAAAGTTTAGCCAGGGGGGCCGATAGGGCATGAACAGGGAAAAGGGGGCACAAAGACATACTTTTCTTTCTTATTCTCAGTTAAAATGTCGAGCTTTTAATAAATAATTATCTGAATAATACAACCAAAGTTTTAATCTGATGTAACATGTATAGAAATCCATTACTGTATATAGTAACTGTTAAGTCTAATATACCCTAGTAAGCTATAGTACTTTTTCCTTTGGGAACCATCTGTGCAGTCTGCAGTTCTGTTGAGAAAATATGTTGAATCTATTTAATTATTGTGGAAAAATAATTGACTTCTGTCCTTTTTTTTTTTTTTTTTTTTTTTTAAACACAGGCATTAAATTAAGGTTGATTACGTCAATTAAGCATCATGAGGTGGGGGGTGGTTTCCTATTATTTTGCTGGGAGTTGGCAACCCTATTAGTTAGGTTGTTTAATATTTCTGCTAAATACTCTTTAAAATACCAGAATAGGGAGGATGGAGCAGGTTTAAGTTTATTAGCTCAGTATTGCTGAACTATGAAATATTTTGGGTGCAGTGTATGTTTTGCATACAGGTTTAACAGAATAGCTTTAGTGTTTTGTTTTTTAAAACTTGAGTATGAACAAGATATTTAAAAAAAACAGTTTTATTGAATAAAAAAAACACTATATCGGATTCATATCGGTATCGGCAGATATCCAAATTTATGATATCGGTATCAGACATAAAAAAGTGGTATCGTGCCATCTCTAATATTTACATATTTAAACCAGTGGAGACAGTTAACCATGTCGTGCACTGCTCAAGCCTTTTAATTCAGCTATGCTTGTTTGTTATTAATACAGTTTAATATATCAACAAGCTGCGTTTCTAAGCTCATTAACTATTTTTTTCAGGGATAATGGATTGTCAAAAGAAAACTACAACAAAACTACACAAAGATACAAACATTAATATTTTACTTCTCCATTGCGTTACTGACATTTTCAGAAAATATATGCATATTTTCTCAGTTACCACCTCATGTGTCTCCCTCTTTTCTTGACAGTTTTGAGCCAATCTGTATATGTGGAATGCGTTGTGATAACATTGACAAGTATACTAGATGCCATGGATTCGTAGGATTACAATTCTTTGTATTGTTGTAGAAGAATGAGCTCAGTGACATTCGCCTCACACCCTCGGTAGTTTTAATGTTACAGCTGTATATTTTTAGTATTTTACGTGTTCATTCAGTACACTGCCATCATACTTTTTGCAATTCTAAAAAATGTTTACAATATTTCAGAAAATAAAATGTATTAACATAAAATGGAAGCACAGCAAGAAACAATTTAGCAGTTTCCCACAATAACTTTACGTACGTAGGAGCTTAAACTGATAAAAGACTGGAGAAAATGAAAGCCTCTTAGTGGCATCACCAGCTTTCACAGAAGCACAAGTCACACATGAGGCACTTCCTCATTTCAGGTTCGATTTCTGGGCTTGAGGATTTTTATCTTATTAGGTGCTGTATAATAACGACTTCTCTCGTCTGCTTGTGGCACTTCCATTGATTCTCTTCTCACAACTCTCTGTACTAGAAACCATGACATCAGATGCATGTCGCAAACTTCTCTCTACACACTTTGATGTACTTCCCCATATGATACAGAATGAAAGAAACATACAGGGAAGGGTGAATAAAATGTGGATGTCAGTTTGTGCATCATGTCTCCTGGCTAAAAGAAACAATCACAATCTTTCAAACGTTGTCCGACCCTGGTCATTTCACCAAGCATGACGAGAACGGTAATAGCTACAGGAATGTCACTGCAGGCACAAGATTCAAAACTCACTGCAGAAAATACATTTATGGTCCCAACAGGCTCAATCCGCATGGTCTGAATTATGGTCGTTTTTGTGATATTCTCTATGTTATTTAAAAAAAAAAAGAAAAATTAAACTAAAATTAAAGAAAGTTGCTGTAACTTGTTTTGTTTTTCTACAGTCTTAGAAATTCTGTGACAGCAATTTTGTTATTTTATTTAAGTGGATGCAGAAAAGCACATGCAGATCTGGAAAATGTAGTGACGATTTTGCAAAAAGGAACAGACATGCATACATTTCAGTTCATTAAGCTGGTTAACTGATCTGTAAATAATTCCAAACAATCTACGGCAGATGCAACATAGCAAAGCAGTAAAGCGGTTTCACGCTGTACAGCTTTGGTATTAAATAGATTGGGTACTCAGCCGATATCTAAGCAGACTGACTGCCATTTGTCAGTGATGCTTCTGTCGCACTGCGCCTTGCCTAAACTGACCAAGCAGAACTAGTCCAACCCGTTGCAATTCTGGACCATTTGCTTGAGTCATCTCTCTCTCTGCACATGACTTAGCAGCAAGTTAAGCTCTAGGAGTTCCCACAATGACGGCGCATTTCAGCAAGCTGGTAAACACCAAAGTGGTTATTATTGTTTCATCATTTCATTTGTTTTCTTTTCCTTTTCTTCAGAGCACAATTCACTGATGATTACTTAGATGATATACATAAAGGAAAAGTTCCCCAGATAGAGATTTAGATATGGACCTCAGTCAGGAGATCCCGACAAAGGCAAAAGCGGACTGCAAACTGACACATACACACAAATCGCCTGTAGTTACGGCTAGCTAAAAGAGTGTGAAGTGGAGCAAAGGTTGGGACATTGAGTCAATGCAGAGAGTGGCTGAGAGAGACAGTGTGGACAACTGTCACACTGAGTCGGAGTAATAACAATATGATAAACCGCTATGTAGATGATCCTCTGCTCCCCCACAGTGACGCTATGCATCATCTGCAATAAACATCTGCAGTTTTCTAAATAATAATCCACAACTTCGCAGAAAGAAAATGTACAGTATTTTCTTGATCTACTGCCAGAAGTACACTGATGTGAGGTCATGTTCTGTAGTGCACTGCAGGCAAACACCACCACCAAATACAAGCAAACAAAGTACAGTTAGTACAGTGTTTATCTAAAACCCAAATACCTCTTAAGGTGAGCCAGCTACCACAGATAAAAGATGACTTTACACGAATGCATAGGTGCTATAAATCATGCTAGTATGAAAAACCTATCAACGCACATTAACTGTAAGACAGCTATCCCTAAAGAATCTCCTCAACATCTTTCTTTCCTGTCAACTGGTCATTTGTTCAAGTGATGTGACTTCTGACTCCTTTGCTCGAGGAATGTGATTTGTCCAAACGTTCCCAAGGGTACACTATGAGTTTTGCCACAATAACAAAGTCACCAAATGTGACAAACAGTCTAAGAGCCAAAAATTGTATACCCCCCACCCCCACCTTTTTAAAAGTTTAAGTGTTTTTCCCCCCAGAGCAGATTTTTTTTTAAGAAAGGGAACACCCTTTGTGGTTGTGGGAACGCCACATATTTAGAATCCTATTTAGTTCATCCTAAATCCACCCTGCGATAACCAAACCTTCAAGCTAGAATCTGCAATAAATAATGAACATACATAAGATCAGGCTGGTTTTGGAGAACCCGCCCGATACCTGCCAAACAGTTTGAAACGCTGTGGGTACAGAGATCTGACGCCCTTTGGATGTACTAAAATGTATTTTGTATGAAGTTAACCGATAAAAACTATCCATTGGTTAATTTACAGAATAACTTCTTTGCAAGTAACAGTATAAAAAAAATGTGTAGACTGCACAGCCTAAGGCACTATACGACCTCAGCCTGTTGGGACATGTTTTATGTAGAAAAACAGACTAAAATCCATCCGTTCTAAAGGAGGGAAACAACACAAAACTTCCTTGTCGCATGAAATGGCACAGTTTAAAAATAACTACAGATGCTTTCAATATTTCAAAGAAGACAGATGCCACTAAAAAAGAAAAAAAAAATCAGCTGAGAAATTTGTTGGCTCACTAACCATCGACACGTATTGCAAGCAGCCTTAACAACACAGCGCTTCCTCGCCCAGGTTCACTGTTCGGCTTCCAGGTAAGACGTTCCCAGGAAAAGCGGTGTATCTCGCGGATGTGTTCCTGCCCTGATCCTGGAAAGGCTGGAACATAAATGCCGTTTCGCCGTGTGCTTGGCCCTGAAGCTCGCAGGCAGTTGGGGAATGCGGAAAACACCACCACTATCCACACTTTGATGTCATGTCCGATTTACCGTAAATACGTGTTTAGCGACCTGGAGAGGCGTTCAGGGCACCTACTAAGAGTCAATAAAGTAAAAAGCTTTTTGTTAACTACATTTCACGTCCACCCGTCACATAACAGGTAATAAGAGAAACATTTCCGGTTTGAAAACACCTTCAAAATAAAGGCGGAAACTACAAATTAAGTTTTGAGGTGTTTCAGCTTTATAATACTATTCAGTGGGCAGAGTAATAACGAAATATCAATCCATTCATCTAGTTTCTTAATCATTTATTCAACTGATTTAGAGTTCTATGGGGAACCTCTATAGAGCCTAGGACCTAACCTATGTAAGCGGCCAACGTCAAGATTCAAGATTCTTTATTTGTCACATGCATAGTTATAGGAGTACAACTGAAATGAAATCTGTCCTGAAACACTCCTCGACTGTGCATAAAGAGGACATCATATACAGTAAGTAGTGAATTATATACATTAAGTAAATTAAATAAAACAATCTGGAAATTTGAAATTAAAAGTCTGAAAATGTGTGCGAGTGGAATGTGTCTTGTGCCATATTAGCACCGCAATGTACTGACAGAGCAGTGCAACATACAACATAGTGACCAGAGTAGTACAAACGGTAATGTACAAGATCAGTTGCGGTCCTGCCTATTTAGCGCCCTGGGAGAACACCCCCTCTGCGGACTCCGTTAGGGTGGTGTCTGAGAGGTAGATGTTGTCCAAGATAAAGACAATGTTGGATAATATCTCCCACTCATTCCATGACATGACATGCTGGCTAGTCACAGGAGCATGTTCAGAGACTGAATTAGCAAAAAGCATCACTGAATGGCACAGGAAATCATTCCTCCCTGTGCAACTCCTCCATCTAACACACTGTAAACACTGCAATAGTTACATCCTTTTTACACACGCTCTTTTCTACTCTGGAATATTCTCGTCAATTTTCTTGTAATCACCTCTGTTAATCCTTGATATTTATAACTGAGTGATCTGTATATATTAATGCTATTTCTTAAATGTGTCAAATCTGTAACATAATGTATTGTTTGGAGTTTAGTCTGTTACTGTTACAATTTTTTACCATTTCTTCTTGGAACAACTGTAACCCACATAATTTCCTTAGAGATTAATAAAGTATTCTGATTCTGATTGTTTCAGGATGACCTGCCATTATCCAATCACACATCTGCTTACCTGTATCTTTTGCTCATTTCTCCTCCTGTACTTGTATCTTTTTTCTAAACTGAGCACCTGATGGCTTTGAACTTTTCTTGTCCATCTTCCATTGGTTTTAATTTTGCACTCCAGTATGAACACCCATCCCCCAACCCGAGGATCACCACAACATAATCTAACAAACCTACACCTTAGTTCACAGATTCACTTTGTCTAAGGTTTATTTCTGGGATTTTGCACAACCCAGGATTCAAAACATGAATACATAATGGGCTTGGATTTACATCATTATGATTAAAATGTGCTCTATCTGGAAGCAGCCGGCCCCTCCCCTTTCGACAGGTTGTGTGTGAGATCATCAAACTGTGAATTATAAATTTTAAATTGTTATTGATCCTTTACCACAAGTCCTAAAGTGTATATTTATTTTCTTACTCTTCTTATATTTATCGTTTGTTTACTTGCACTGCTGTAACTGGAGCCTCGTCGTATATAGAGACGCTATATATAGGGGAGACCGGGGATAGTTGTAACGTGGGTCAGTTGTAACACTTCCAGTTTCTCCAATCAGGGCTAAGTTTCAAATGATGTGACTCATCTTGTGCATGCCCAATTCAGTTCTGCTATCACATGTGAAAAATCAGCACATTTTGTAAAACACAGACAATTTAACATGAAAAAAAGTAATTTGTATGCCAAAAAGTACGTTTTTCTACTTTATTTCAATGTTTAATAGCATTATCTGCTTTGCAGTTAAACTCATCAAACTTAAATTATGTTATTTGTATGTCTATGGGGATATATTCTGTCTTTAGTGCTAATGTTTTAGCCGTTGGCTGTAATGTTAGCTAGTTCATGGCTATAGGAGTCTGGGTCAGTTGTAACAGCAACAGTCTGGGTCAGTTGTAACAATAATGCAGATGTTACAACTTACCACACTATTACTTTAACTTATATTAAACAAGTTGGGGCAACGACATCAGCAGAGAGAGGTTCACTGGTCGCCTTTGTATATGCGGTTAATGCCATTGGCAACACAATTCCTCCACTGTTTGTGTTCCCACACATACATTATGCAGACCTCTGTGTCAGAGATGGACCAGTAGGAAATACTGGTAGTGGAAATAAATCAGGATGAGTGCAAGAAACAGATTTCCTCATCTTTCTGAAGCACTTTGCAAACCACACCAAGGTAAGCCAGGATAAAAAGTAATGGAATTGCGATGCTGGTGCACAACTACATTTTTTCAGCTTCATTGTTATGTTCAAAATTGGTGCAAGAGTTGTAGGTTATAATGCCCACTGAGCCAATGAGGCCAAACTCAAGGAAGACCAACCAAAATTAATGAAATATTCAGTTGCAGAAAATTCCATAACTTGTCTTTTTTGGGGGGTTGGAATATGTTCAAAAGCTAGATTTCTGCATTCTGTCACACACACACACATAAATGGATGTAAGTGCATTCATGTGTTGAATAAAAAAAGATTACATGTTAATGTTTTGTCAGTACTGTCAACTAACCCAGACTATGGGGTTAATTGTAACATTTCACTCTTTGTGTTTGAGACCATACCATGCAATGGGTAATTGTGCTGCAGAGAAAATAGCTGCACTATGTAATAGCAGAGACATGTAAATACTTTGCATTACATTTTGAATCCACTACCTTAAAAGAGCTTCAATTTACACACAGAAATGTCAAAAATGTTACAACTATCCCCGGTCTCCCCTACTGGACTGTATGTAGCGGAGATGACAACAAACTTTACTTTGACTTCAGCAGCGAGCAGGCGCACCGAGGTGCAAATTATAAGTCTGTATCATAATGTCTGGTGTTTTCATGTTTGTTGGTTTGTTTTTATTTTGTTTTATTTTGCGGGTTGGTTATTAGATGCCCCGCCCTCTCATCCCTGTGCCGCATGCAGCAGGTGCACCTCGCAAACGGAGGGCGCCGTTACTCCCAGCAAATGGGCGATAGAAAACCGATCGGTGCCTATGCCATTCCCAATATGCACTGGCATGATGTCGGGGCAGCATGAGTACAAACAAATTGTTTTTTGGGGTTTTTTTTGACGATGCCCCTGATGCCGTCCCCCACCACGATGCTGCCCTGGGCAAACACCCATGTCGCCCGTATCAAAAACCGCTACTGTACAAGACAATATACACAGTAGTGAGGCCAAGAAGAATCAGCCATGATATGAGATGACCGTGAACGTTCTGGAATGTGGCAAGAATAAGTCCTGTCTCCGTCACTTATGGATGCTTTTGGGGGGGGTGCGCACGTTCTGATTAAGGACTCGGAGGGCCTGAGGGTAGAAGCTCTTCCTGAGCTTCTCTGTTTTTGCCCAGGTGGTGCAGAACCTTCTGCCTGATTGCAGAAGTTGGGACAGATTGTTGCTGGGATAGGATGGGTCCTTCAATAGCTGCTCTAGACCAGCATCTCGTGGTGTAGATGTCCTGTAGGGAGGGAAGAACAGTCCTGCAGCAGCGTTCAGCCACACAGATCCCTCTCTGAAGAGCTTTCTGATCCTTAACACAGCTGTTCCCATGCCAGGATGGGATGTTCTGTGTAAGGATGCTCTCCACAGCACCTGTATAGAAAGTCCTGGGGATCACTGGAGAGACCCAGGACTTCCTCAGTTGTCGGAGATGGTACAGGCGCTGCCTAGCCTATTTGGACTGGACCTGAATGTGAGCAGACCATGTCAGGTCTGAGGAGATGTGGACACTGAGATACTTGAAGGACCACAACCTCTCCACTGGAGCTCCGTTGATGATAAGGGGCTTGTAGACTCTATGCTTACTCCTGAAGTCCACCACCAACTCGTTGGTCTTGCGGATGTTCAGCTGGAGGTGGTTGTCCTGGCACCACGATGCCAGATTCTTCACCTCATCCAAGTAGGCTGCCTCATCGTTGTTGGAGATGGCGCCCAACACCACTGTGTCATCAGCAAACATTACAATGGTGTTGGAGCTTATGGAATGTCAATTGAGCAATAGATTCCGGTCTACCATCCCAACCATCTTTGGAAAACCCGTTAAGAGCTTGGTGAAAATGTTCTAGAGCACACTTAAAGATGGAGCAGTTGTTCTTTGTGAGGAGCTTGAGGGTTGGCTGAAGAAACTAGCAAAAAAGGTCTTTTGAGAAATGCTTTTGAGGGTCAGTCTCAGAAGAAGAGTTTGACCAGCATAGATGTTTATGGAAATAGCGGCAAATTAAGGCTCGTCTTGAAATCCATTCTGGAGGAGATCTAGGTTTTGTGCATCAGGAAACTTGTACAGTACAATCAATCAATTACTCCATGGTGCAGATGTGAACAGATGGTAACATGCACAGTTCTGCTGTGCTATATACAAATATCAAAAATAAATAAGGATTATATATTTACAGTGTGGGTTATTGCACGTATTAAATATTGCACAGTAGTGACGGTAATTTGCATAGTCTGTGTATAGAGGGTTGGGGGTCAGTGCGTGTGAGTTCAGGGTGGTTATGGCTTTTGGAAAGAAACTGTTCTTGAGTCTGTTAGTCTTTGTACTGATGCACCTGTAGCACTTTCCTGAGGACAGCAGTTTGAACAGGTCAAAACCAGGGTGGGAGCTGTGCTTGATGATGCTCTCTGCTGAGCTCTGCTCTGCTGAGCAAGCCAGGGAGGTATAAATGTCCATCAGGGAGGGGGGAGGGCAGCAAATGATCTTCTGTGCTGCCTTGGTAAATGGTAAATGGTAAATGGCCTGTATTCGTATAGCGCTTTACTAGTCCCTAAGGACCCCAAAGCGCTTTACATATCCAGTCATCCACCCATTCACGCACACATTCACACACTGGTGATGGCAAGCTACAGTGTAGCCACAGCCACCCTGGGGCGCACTGACAGAGGCGAGGCTGCCGGACACTAGCGCCACCGTGCCCTCTGACCACCACCAATAGGCAACGGGTG